AAACAAAAGACACTAGAACACAATTATGTAAACATAAAATAAATAAGCAAATGCAAATCCATGTAAAGCAATAAACACTCCTATATCATGCTCCAAGCACCTGCAAGTATCACTGTCAGTAAGCACACAGCTGACAGTGTTTGCTGATACAGAATGCAGTTTGTTGAGCTGTCATACAGAAATTGTGAACATGTCTCTTGGACACATGGTGAATATCATACCATAACAGACAATACTGCGCGATTCCAGAACTGTTCTAGCTTCCATCCAACCTCTGTCCATTACATCATTGCTGAGTGGTTGGCATCTGTGCTTGTGGTTACATTGTTTGCTCGTCACACTGAAGACCCAGGTTTGAGTCCCCATGGTTACAATGTGTTAAGCCGATTTCTGCTGTCCACCACTGTGATGTTGCTGGCGTAAAACCATACTCAATCACTCACTCATTCAAATGGTATTAGAGTTCACTCACTCACACACTCACTGAACCACAGTATGACATAAACTGGACCATAAATGTTCAAGGATTGACACATTTCCTTCTGTGCAGGCTTACACTGTTCCCAAAGGTCTGTAAAAGAATCAAAATGTTCCGTAGTCCTTATGCTTAAAGAATACTGAATGGTATGACACCTCAACACAAACCCTGTATCTCACAGCAACAAGAGACTTGGACATACCTACACTTCCGAGCATCACAAATGTAATTCATTGCAATACAGTCAACCAATGCCAGGTACAAAAATAAGTTAAGAAACCCCAAATGTTCAAAGATGAACTTCTCTGTATAATCTGACACTGAGCACCAGATAATTGCACCACCGGAAGGAAATGACACACGCTGTTAGACAATGTGGCAATATTAATGCCATAGATCTAAAACCACCATACAGAAAGACTTAGCATGTTACGAAAGCCATATTAGTGCCCGAAAGCCCTGTCATATCATTCGCCATCTCGAGCATATTGACTGCAACACTTTAAACAAAAGTTTCTTCTTAAAAAGTAGTTGTTGCAAAATATAAATTGAAGATATCAACATTCTTGTTTTACAAATTCTTTGAAACATAATGATATGATCCACTTGGGTATCAAGAGTCATCATAAGGATAGTGAATTAAAAAGAAGTTCTCAGAAACAAAATTTAAATTCCATTTAAATTGAAAAGGAGCCCCAGTGAGATGGGAGATTCAGAAAGAGTTTTAAAAAATCTAGACTTATACATTTTGGGTTTTCACACAGCAGAAAGGGATCGGCAGGATGGAAAATAATATGGTTCAGGAACCGTGAGACAGGTACACAGTGTACTAGTGTACTAACATACTGGTCACAGGTATGTACAGCTGATTTATACATACTACAGGGCAAATATTGGTGAAAAGTGGAGGTAATTATCACAGTTTGGTCCTCCACCAATCAGTGCTGACAACAATCAATGAATACATTTTGTAAAGTCGTCACGACGTTATTGAAACAGGATTGCATATTCAGTTTGACATAAATACAAAGTTCATGTTGATCTCAAACAATGTAGTCACAAACACAAAATGTAGATGATATAACCTAGAATCATGGGGAGATATAGCTCCAGAAATATAGCTGATATAACCTAGAATCATGGGAGATATAGCTCCAGAAATATAGCTGATATAACCTAGAATCATGGGAGATATAGCTCCAGAAATATAGCTGATATAACCTAGAATCATGGGGAGATATAGCTCCAGAAATATAGCTGATATAACCTAGAATCATGGGGAGATATAGCTCCAGAAATATAGCTGATATAACCTAGAATCATGGGAGATATAGCTCCAGAAATATAGCTGATATAACCTAGAATCATGGGAGATATAGCTCCAGAAATATAGCTGATATAACCTAGAATCATGGGGAGATATAGCTCCAGAAATATAGCTGATATAACCTAGAATCATGGGAGATATAGCTCCAGAAATATAGCTGATATAACCTAGAATCATGGGAGATATAGCTCCAGAAAATATAGCTGATATAACCTAGAATCATGGGAGATATAGCTCCAGAAATATAGCTGATATAACCTAGAATCATGGGAGATATAGCTCCAGAAATATAGCTGATATAACCTAGAATCATGGGGAGATATAGCTCCAGAAATATAGCTGATATAACCTAGAATCATGGGGAGATATAGCTCCAGAAATATAGCTGATATAACCTAGAATCATGGGAGCAGAAATATAGCTGATATAACCTAGAATCATGGGGAGATATAGCTCCAGAAATATAGCTGATATAACCTAGAATCATGGGAGATATAGCTCCAGAAATATAGCTGATATAACCTAGAATCATGGGGAGATATAGCTCCAGAAATATAGCTGATATAACCTAGAATCATGGGGAGATATAGCTCCAGAAATATAGCTGATATAACCTAGAATCATGGGAGATATAGCTCCAGAAATATACCTGATATAACCTAGAATCATGGGAGATATAGCTCCAGAAATATAGCTGATATAACCTAGAATCATGGGAGATATAGCTAACCAGAAATATACCTGATATAGCTCCAGAAATATAGCCTAGAACCTCATGGGGAGATATAGCTCCAGAAATATAGCTGATATAACCTAGAATCATGGGGAGATATAGCTCCAGAAATATAGCTGATATAACCTAGAATCATGGGGAGATATAGCTCCAGAAATATAGCTGATATAACCTAGAATCATGGGGAGATATAGCTCCAGAAATATAGCTGATATAACCTAGCTGAATCATGGGAGATATAGCTCCAGAAATATACCTAGCTGATATAACCTAGAATCATCATGGGGAGATATAGCTCCAGAAATATAGCTGATATAACCTAGAATCATGGGGAGATATAGCTCCAGAAATATAGCTGATATAACCTAGAATCATGGGGAGATAGCTCCAGAAATATAGCTGATATAACCTAGAATCATGGGGAGATATAGCTCCAGAAATATAGCTGATATAACCTAGAATCATGGGGAGATATAGCTCCAGAAATATATAACCTGATATAACCTAGAATCATGGGGAGATATAGCTCCAGAAATATAGCTGATATAACCTAGAATCATGGGAGATATAGCTCCAGAAATATAGCTGATATAACCTAGAATCATGGGAGATATAGCTCCAGAAATATAGCTGATATAACCTAGAATCATGGGGAGATATAGCTCCAGAAATATAGCTGATATAACCTAGAATCATGGGGAGATATAGCTCCAGAAATATACCTGATATAACCTAGAATCATGGGGAGATATAGCTCCAGAAATATACCTGATATAACCTAGAATCATGGGGAGATATAGCTCCAGAAATATAGCTGATATAACCTAGAATCATGGGGAGATATAGCTCCAGAAATATAGCTGATATAACCTAGAATCATGGGGAGATATAGCTCCAGAAATGATATAGCTGATATAACCTAGAATCATGGGGAGATATAGCTCCAGAAATATAGCTGATATAACCTAGAATCATGGGGAGATATAGCTCCAGAAATATAGCTGATATAACCTAGAATCATGGGGAGATATAGCTCCAGAAATATAGCTGATATAACCTAGAATCATGGGGAGAAGCTCATGGGGAGATATAGCTCCAGAAATATAGCTGATATAACCTAGAATCATGGGGAGATATAGCTGATATAACCCAGAAATATAGCTGATATAACCTAGAATCATGGGAGATATAGCCCAGAAATATAGCTGATATAACCTAGAATCATGGGGAGATATAGCTCCAGAAATATAGCTGATATAACCTAGAATCATGGGGAGATATAGCTCCAGAAATATAGCTGATATAACCTAGAATCATGGGGAGATATAGCTCCAGAAATGTAGCTGATATAACCTAGAATCATGGGGAGATATAGCTCCAGAAATATAGCTGATATAACCTAGAATCATGGGGAGATATAGCTCCAGAAATATAGCTGATATAACCTAGAATCATGGGGAGATATAGCTCCAGAAATATAGCTGATATAACCTAGAATCATGGGGAGATATAGCTCCAGAAATATAGCTGATATAACCTAGAATCATGGGGAGATATAGCTCCAGAAATATAGCTGATATAACCTAGAATCATGGGAGATATAGCTCCAGAAATATAGCTGATATAACCTAGAATCATGGGGAGATATAGCTCCAGAAATATAGCTGATATAACCTAGAATCATGGGGAGATATAGCTCCAGAAATATAGCTGATATAACCTAGAATCATGGGGGAGATATAGCTCCAGAAATATAGCTGATATAACCTAGAATCATGGGGAGATATAGCTCCAGAAATATAGCTGATATAACCTAGAATCATGGGGAGATATAGCTCCAGAAATCATATATAGATGATATAACCTAGAATCATGGGGAGATATAGCTCCAGAAATGTAGCTGATATAACCTAGAATCATGGGGAGATATAGCTCCAGAAATATAGACCTAGAATGATATAACCTAGAGAATCATGGGGAGATATAGCTCCAGAAATATAGCTGATATAACCTAGAATCATGGGGAGATATAGCTCCAGAAATATAGCTGATATAACCTAGAATCATGGGAGATATAGCTCCAGAAATATAGCTGATATAACCTAGAATCATGGGGAGATATAGCTCCAGAAATATATATGATATAACCTAGAATCATGGGAGATATAGCTCCAGAAATATATATGATATAACCTAGAATCATGGGGAGATATAGCTCCAGAAATGTAGATGATATCACCTAGAATCATGGGGAGATATAGCTCCAGAAATATAGCTGATATAACCTAGAATCATGGGGAGATATAGTTCCAGAAATGTAGATGATATAACCTAGAATCATGGGGAGATATAGCCTTGAGCAGCTCCAGACACAGCTGGAATAACCTAGAAATATACCAGGAATGTAACTCATGTAACTAGAAATATATACTCATGGAAATGAATAAGGGAACATATGAAAGTACAAGTGTTCCTTTATTCTTTTCCAGGTTTCTTTACAAGGCATGTATTGCACTGTGGATGAAATTCTGGAAATAACTAAAGGAACACTTGTATTTTCATGTGTTCCCTTATTCATTTCTATGAGTATGTATAGCAGAAACCTATACAACTTGCTATATAGTTGACCTAGTAACCTAGATATGTACCAGAAACCTAGCTGATATAACAGAGATATATATCACAAACCTAGCTGATATATCCTAGATATATACCAGAAACATTGCTGATATATCCTAGATATATACCAGAAACATTGCTGATATATCCTCCAAACATACCAGAAACATGTTGAAGCACAGGACCTATACTCTGCTTGGTAAAATTGGTTGATATTCTCTGCTCTTCAAAACTCTCCTTGGCCCCTGAGACAAATCTGCATGTTGTCCTGGCTAGCTGACACAAGTGATGTCCCTTGGATTGCATAGTACCGGTATTCATATCACATAAAGCCCACCACTTGGAAGACACATCTTTTGACACTGAAGTACCTCTTACTTTCCAAGGATGAAACCCTTTCTACAGTGAAGCTCTATTTGTTTTGATCCTATTATTCAGAATATCTTCTTTCTGGATGGTGCCCGTTGGAAATGTGTTCATTTTACTAACACTGTTTACTAACTTTCTGATTTAAACGAGCTTCTCTGTAGCAGGAAAACATTCTTTAAATGTCGACAAAAACCCATAATAATTAGGCAACAAAGCTTCACATCAAATTATTGTAAAAACATCAGAGGAAAAATTCAACAATCGACAATCAATAACTTTGCATGTATAACACCAATGTAGAAATCTCTTTTTAAAAGAGTGTTCTGCATTGGATTAATGCATGAACATTATAAATGTCATAGTTATACTATTGATCTGAATTCAGTGACTACCACAGGTATGATTAAAACAAACTCTTAAATTCTCAATTAAATTCAAACAAAAAATCAACAGCTTTAGACTGAATATATCTCATGAAACATGCTACTTGTCAATTCCTGTACACATTAAAAATATTGACAAATTATGATTAAAATCAACTTACTACAAACGTGTAAAAGCAACATTCACAGTATAAATAAAATACACTAAAACATGCTATGATATGAAAAATATCTCAGTTCCAGAAAACACAATAAAATAATTTACGCTTGTCAAGTTAATTCTTCTTAATACATGCAGTCTCCAGGGATTTTCAACACATTTACTACTTGACTGAAAACCTTGTTTTAAAGTGCAAAAACAGCCCACCAAAACAGTGTGCAAGCACTTTAATTCAACTGTTTGAAATTGAGCTGTATTTTTTATTAGTATGAAAATGTCCCTTAAACACGAAAAAATGTTTCATTTTGCACACATCAAAATATCGTAACCTTAGATAAAATGGTTTAGCTGTAACAAAATCACAGTATAAAACAATCAAATAGAAGCAAAGTAAAAACATGTGATGCAGAGAATACCTCTTGAAAATCAATATCCGACACGTCCCTTACGTGACAACATATTTTCCTAGTTTCATATTTCAACTGCAATAAATATAGACACAGTACCAATAGGTCGTCAGATCCCATACACTGACTATGTGAGGTATTGTTACACACTCAACTTGTACATATTGACATACAAGGTAAAGGCAATGATAAAACTCCACACACTGTCCATGTGAGGAAAGGTTCCACATTCTTCTTGTAGAAATCGATACACATGGTGAAGATTGCTGTCAAACTCCACACACTGTCCATGTGAGGAAAGGTTCCACATTCTTCTTGTAGAAATCGATACACATGGTGAAGATTGCTGTCAAACTCCTCACACTATCCATGTGAGGAATGGTTCCACAGTCACTGTTTTTGTAGACATCAAGACACAAGGCGCAGACAACAATCACACTCCCCACACAGTCTATGTGAGGAATGGTTCCACACTCACTGTTTTTGTAGACATCAAGACACAAGGCGCAGGCAACAATCACACTCCCCACACAGTCTATGTGAGGAATGGTTCCACACTCACTGTTTTTGAAGACATCAAGACACAAGGCGCAGGCAACAATCACGCTCCCCACACAGTCTATGTGAGGAATGGTTCCACACTCTTCTTGTAGACATCCATGTTGGTGTGCCACTTGATATGTGGAATCCCGCTGTAGGTGAAGGTCGTAATTGCCTTCCGTTCGTACAGTGTGCGCAGTCCAAAGCTGTCCTCTCTGTACCACTGGAAGAGGAACAGCGTGTGCCAGAATGGCATCAGTAAGGTGAGGTGAGGTGAGGTGAAATTGGGCTTTACGTCGTGCTTGAGAATATTTCGCTCATATGACGACATGCATGCATGTGTATGTGTATGTGCGGCTGCTTGTACTAGCCCAGACTTAAGCTGGTTTTATAGTGCCCACTGAGATACCATGCCGCAGTGAAGCATGAATACCCCACTCAGACACATTATACTGACTCCGAGCCGACCAGTCCTTGTTGTACCCATTAATGCCGAGCGCCAGGCAGGGACCAACAAGTACCATATTTTAACGTCTTTTTGGTATGATGCGGTCGGGGATCGAACCCGCGACCTTCCGCTCTCCGGGCGGACGCTCTAACCACTACACCACGGAGGCGGTCGGCATCAGTAAGTAATGTGTTGGTGTGGATGTATGGGTGTGTGCCTGTAAAGGTTGAGTCTGGTGTAACACCGCTTTTAACAATATTCCAATATTATCGTGGCAGGGGACACCAGATATGGGCTTCACACATTGCATTCATGTGGGGAATCAAACCCAGGTTGTCAGTGTGGCGAGCAAACGCTCTAACCACTAGACCACCCAGCGCTCTATGTAAGGGTCACTGAACACTACCCCTCATTTTTTTTAATGAAGTCTCATTGCATTTGAAGGTGTGATAATGTCTTTATGTCATATGGAGTGTAAAGGCTAGACACATACCCTCTGTTCTTGCATTGGGAGGACCACATCACTGCCGTTGTACATTCCAAAATGACTAAAATAAAAAAATATATATATATTTTGTACAAATGACAAGAGCTTGATCTTGTTTGTTGTGTAACACAGCACTTAGCAATATTTCTGATGTATGAACGCGGACGGTAAATAGGTCTGGACCAGAAAATCCAGTGATTGAGATCATGAGCATCGATCTACGCAATTGGGAACCGATGACATGTGTCAACCAAGGCAGTGAGCCTGACCACTTGTTCCCGTTAGTCGCCTCTTACAACAAGCATGGGTTGCTGAAGACCAATTCTTACCCAGATCTTCATGGGATCTTCACAAAGGAAGACGCCTATGATAATATCATGCAAAGATTAATTGTGGTGATCACATACTATTTGACAAAAACACATATATTCCTAGTCTGATCTCAAAATATACACCACTGACTTGAGTTACTATAACTAGAATGGGTATTGTCTATTTTATACCCCCATTTGATTAACTTTTGTCTCAATATAGAACAATTTTTTTATGGATAACAACTTCTTTATTTCGTGAGTTCGACGTTTCGATACAGATTCTTGTACCATTGTCAGGCAGGAGTTAGTTAACTTTTGTCTCTTTTAAAGCAAAGACAGACTTTACATGATGTCACTATCTATTATTGTGGCCACCCCAAAGAGCAATACTGACCTCAGGCAAGGTAAAAACAGGTACTCATGTCATGGAAGTCTACAATTGTTCAAGAGTTCTTAAAGACACATTGGGGGCACATTCGCAATGACATTCTACTTCAATAGAACATAACTGTAGGATGATGGTAGGTACCTACCTAGATTGCCAGGGGGTGATCACACCGTCATCTGGACCCCCAACAAGCACCATCTTCTTCAAACGAGAGAAGTTCTCCTTGAAAGCTGGAGATTCAAACACACAAAGGTTTAAAATATTGGCACCTGAAGGTTACATCTTAAAATTTCTCTCTTATCATGCCTGGATCAAGTCTTAGCTACAACCTTGATAATATTTAACTTTATTAAAAGCTAAAATGTTAACAAAAGCTTTCGTAAATTTCGTAACTTCCTCACATACTTTTTAAATACATATAGTTAAAAGCTTTCGTAAATTCATAATTTCATAATTACATATAGTTCAAAGGTTTTAGAACCTATCAATGTTGTTAATAGAAACTGTTGTAGTGGTAATCCCAAAGATGAATTTATTGACATTTTGTTAAACATATATCTTGTATAAGATGAAATTGTCTCACAAATTCATGTGATTGAGTGAGTGTGTTTGGTTTTACGCCTCTTTCTAGCAATATTCCAGCAATATCGCAGCAAGGGACACCAGAAATTGGCTTCAGACATTTTATCCATGTAGGGAATCGAACCTGGGTTTTTGGCGTCGTGAGCGACCCAACACCCCAGTTCATGTGAGTAACTCATATATCCAAGACAGTACTATAGGACATATGGACGGAAATACTGCATATAAATCTGTATCTGATAAAACAAGAGGCACTACTCATACATAAGAAAACATATAGAGACTTACTTTGACTTTGTCCATTAATAGTGTCATTGTTGAGGACGGCCAGATATTCGGAGAACTTGCGGTATTCATCTTGATGATGTGGATCTAGAAATATTTATCATGGAGTGAGTGAGTGAGTGAGTGAGTGAGTGAGTGAGTGAGAGAGAGACCCCATGGGGGACCTGGGACAACTTGCAATATTAGCGCTTTGACTATCTTAAGTTTATGTTGGTGTACATTACGATCATGTTAAGATTGCTTTGCGCCAAATGTGCCCTGTGCCACAATACACAAATCGACCACAGAGCTAAGACTATTCTAACTCATCACCATAGACTTACGACAGACATAGCACTATGATTACTTTATGAATAGCAACTTAAGACTCAGACTTAGCTAAGTCAGTTTTTAAAAACTTAAGTTTGGACTTAGGAAAAATCTTAGTTTCTTTATGAATACCACCCCTGGGGCGGTATTCATAAAGAAACTAAGATTTTCCTAAGTCCAAACATAAGTTTTTAAAACTGACTTATCTAAGTCTGAGTCTTAAGATGCTATTCATAAAGCTACTAAGTCAGAAACTTAGCTAAGTTTCCAAAGACAAACTAAGTTTTTTCAGAGTGCATACCAGCGTGATCACTAGGGTGAATCCGAAGTTATTTTTAGACTTCCGGCGGAACTCTTTTATAAAAAGGTGTGAAAATGGCTTTTCGTTGGGATCTCCCTTTGCTATTTACGCAGACAGGCGACACATTGCGATACCGCGGTAATACATTGTGAAAAATATGTCGGAGTCTGAGATAAAGAAGAGAAAACCTAATTGGACTAAAGGCGAGGTCCTGCTTTTGACCGAACTCTTGAAAACAAACGCCAGAGTGTTGGAAGGAAGTTTGGTCCGGCGTGACGTCGGGCGGCGGCAAGAGGCGTGGCAGGTAATGTAAACATTGGGTCCGACTGTCAAGGTGTAGTCAAGAATACAGAAATGTCTTAGACTACGTGCCACACATAGTTTTTATTTGTTTTGAATAAGTACGATTTTCTGTTCTCTTTTCTGAATTACATTGGTACGCCTATGAAACAGCCCAAAATGCATCAAACACTGGAAAAATGTAGTAGGTGTAGGTGATGATTAGCCGAGGTCACACGACGAAGGAAAGGAACATGTATGAACGAAAAAGTTTTTTAAGCGTTTAACATGACCTCATACAAATAAAGTTTGATGAGGCTGCAGCATGAAGTGTCAGGAATATTTGTAAAATTTCCTGTGTTTTGTTAACTAACAATGGAAAATTTAAAAAAATAGGAAATCCTACTTTATAATTTTTTTTAGGAAATCCTAGTTTATAAATATATGACTAAATATGAAAGCTTTGAGTGATATCTATTTAAGGTATTATCATCATAAGTGTAATCAACTTTAGAACAATTGATTTCAAGAATATATGGAAAATTAAAAAAATAGGAAATCCTACTTTTTATAAAAAAAATTAGGAAATCCTATTTTATAAAAATATCCTTTCTCCCAAATGCTCTGCCTCTTATTTGTCCACAATCATAATACATATAGTTGATTTCTAACAAGTTATGGTCATGACATAGTAATTCATAAGCAGATAGTAACATATGTATATCAAAATAAAGGTTGACAGTTTTCATTCAACTCAACAGGTTATTACAGCAACCATCAACTCCGCTGGTCTGCATCCCAGATCTAAAGAAGAGGTAGAGAAAAAGTGGAAGAACATAAAGAGTCAATCAAAACAGAAGTATTCTGAGTTCAGCAGATTGACTAGAGGAACAGGCAAGTACTTTTCTTCAGTTCATATATCTTGTATATGAGTCACGGGTATTAAATGACATCTATCAGTCTTCTGTCAATTGTCTTAACAAATAAGTTATAACTGATGGATCAATAATCAGTAACAATCGTCCTTGTGTTTTTGTTGTTGTATTTCTTGTATGAAGGGTAATATTTAAAAAATGTGATCCTGAATGGAATAGTGATTGTCCTATTCCCTATTCCAATGAACATATATATATGAAGTTATTTTAAATAAAAGAAATCAAATTAATGATTGTGATTAAATTTTAATGCAGGAGGTGGACCAGCACCAACACCAATCAGCCCAGTGACCGATGCTGTCATTGACATTTTAGGCCAGGACAATGTGGCACTGACAGGTGTGCCTGGGTCAGTCGACTCAACAATGCTGCAGGTACTTGACTTGGTACCAACCGATGACAGGTAAATATGAATGATATGAGGTACCTTTTGGTTAGAATATCATCACCTCACTTGTGCATAAATGTGTTCATACATACATGTATTTTTGGTATGCTTTAACTGCACTGTCTGTTATGATAAATATATGTAATGAACAACTGTTATTGGTTTTTTATATCTAATTGTAATAACACAAAACAACAGGCTTGTTAAAATTGAAAGAACATTTATATTAAAAATTACATGCACATTTCTATCATTTTATTTTTAGACAGATTTATGAAGCCATGTGTGACCCCCATCCACAGCCAGAGGGAGCCAGAATGGGTCCTGAGGAGCCACCAGTCCATCCAGATGCTCCAAGATGCCACACAGTGGAAGCTCTGTTAAAACAGAAATTGCAGCTGGAAATAGAATGCCTCACATTGAAAAAAGGAGTACCTAAAACATAAAATCATGAAACTGAATTAGCTTAAACTGCCATAAATGTACTTGCTGAAAATCAGAAATATTTACATATTTGGGTATTAGGTGTATCATTCTCTGTCTAATATAAGGATAAAACAGATTCTGTTAGAAAAACTATTGTGGGGCCTTTAGCCAAACAGAAATTAAATTGTCAATACTACACATGAAGATAAGGGAATATACAATATTACAAATAAATAAAGCTATCGTGTAGAATGTATTAATAGTATGAGTGATAAAACTTAATTTTGTTTTGGAGAGGATTGTCTGTATTAAATGTAATAACATAATCTACCATTTATAGTTCTAACTCTGACACTATGATAGAAGATCCTAAAATCATCTTACATGGAAAGTTTGTATTGGCGAAGTGCTCTCTTTATCTCAGTGCAGCCACTGGTGTAGTGATTGCTAGTAGACCTCCACTCTGCCCATCATGCCTTCCAAATCCATCATGCCCATCTGTGGGTGGTAATGGAATGTTCCTGTCCTTGCATATGTTGTGAAGGACAGCACATGCTATGATCACCTGAAATATGGAATAATTAGTGATAAATGGAAAATAATAAATTTAGATACAAAAGTCAGTATAGACATGGCCATGCAGTGTACATTTTGAGATGATGAACTACTGTATTGCCTTTTACATATTTTCAATAGCATCAGTAAATAGAAATTCATGACAACCCATATCATATTCGTGATATATAGTAATATATATATGTATATAGTTTCATATTTTCAGTGATTCATACATCTTGCAAAATTGTAATTTATTAATCATATTGCCATTTAGCTTTGTTACCTTGTCAATTTATTTGTATTATTTATGTGGCAAGTAAACAGTGCTAAAGAAATAACTGTTGTTGATTATATTTTTCTTACCTTGCAAGCCTTCTCAGGTTTTAACCTGATTTCCCCATGAAGAACAGGAAATCTGCGCTTGAATTGGCCAAAGGCCCTTTCAACACTGCTCCTTGTTCTTTTATGCGATCTGGGTTAAGAAATAAAATATCATAAACCTCCAGCACAGTAAAAACTGTTTGTGTTGTCATTGTAAACTGTCACTTATTCAGTAAATAACTCTGAAAAAAACCTAATAATACAGTAACACTTACATAGATTATTTACATTCTACATTGAACTCCTGTCACTGGGTTGCCTACTAGAGGGCGCCTATTACAGTGGTTTATGATGTTTTAAGAAAATAATTTCTAGTCATATTCAGCATACTCATAAAATGTCTACAACCTGATTACAGAATTCGTATTTTATGAAAACTGTATTTTGCTTCGGTTATCCAGACTAATGTAATAACGTTTGTGATCTATAATGTGTAATGAGTACGATTGCTCAATGTTTATTCGAGGTAAATACAAGGGACACCACTCTATGTTGCTGATCACAATTGGCAACTTTACACGGAAGTTTACATACCTGTTGTAGTTTGTTTGTGGTCCTGCCAATGGCCTTAGGAAAGGGGTTAGTAGCCACTTCTTACAGGGGTAACCGCTGTCACCGAGAAGGTGGCATCCCATGGGGACAACATTTGAGACCGCTGTTGGTCAATATGCGTGAATCGTGTGTCGATCCAGGCCACCGAGCGTCAATTATCCTGTCTTCGCTATCGAAAGCGATCTGTGTATTGATGCTGTGGTAGTGATGCCGGTTTACAAATTCATTTTCATTTACTGTTGGGGCTTGAATCTGAACGTGCGTTCCGTCGATCACCCCCACAACTCCGGGAAAGTTTGCAACCTGATAAAAGTTGGTCTGGTGACGCCTGATGTCACGAAGTTGTAGGGGGAAGCGAACGAACTGTTTGACAATCCTGTCAGATGACAAACTTCGTATGCAGTCATTCACAGCTCTGGAAATGGTTGGCTGGCTGACACCTTGATCGTCCGCATTGCACAATTGAAATTTTATGGTGGCAAAGTACCTCAATGTGATGAGCGTCTTTTGTGAGGCATCCAGTGCGTGGTTACAGGTGGTTGTGGGCTCAACGTCTGGCTATTAGACTGGCGGCGAATCTAATGCCATTCCCATCTAGGCGGTATCGCGAATTAATTCTTCATCGCTGTATTCAACGAGACTTTGTCTTCTTTGGTGAAATGAACGACGCCTCAGCGCTACGGCAGCCATATTGTTTACTGACTTAAGTCAAACACCTTCCAGTTAAGCCTACCCCTGCCCAGTCTTAAGATTTAAGTCGGAAATCGCCAAAACTTAAGCCTAAGTTGCTTTATGAATATGACTTGAGTAAAATCTGAAAACTTAAGTCAGAAAAAGTGAAAAACTTAGTTTTTTCAAAAACTTAAGTCATATTTCAGACTTAAGTTCTTTTATGAATACAGCCCCTGGAGTAGAGTCTATCAAGAACCCAGAAACTACTCATAAGATACCCGTGAAGATCCGAGTTAGAATTGATCTTCAGTAACCCATGCTTGTCGTAAGAGGCGACTAACGGAATCGGGTGGTCATCGTATCCCAATTGTGCAGATCGATGCTCATGCTGTTGGTCAGTGGACTGTCTGGTCCAGACTGGATTATTTAAAGACCGCCACCATATAGCTAGAATTTTGCTGAGTGTGGCGTAAAACTAAACTCACTCACTCACAATACGGATACTGGGTTAGAACTGATCCTTTGCAACCTATACTCCTTATCAGAGGTGACTTAATGGGTTACGTGTTCAGGCTCAGTGACTTGGTTGATAGCGATTTAGTATGACAATTGCTCATAATATCAATCACTGGATTGTTGATTCTTTACAGCACACAATCGAACAGCTGGAATATTGTGGTGGTGAACACAAACTACTTACCATACCAATAGTTTGCAACAGACCATCTTTGCCCCATGTCAGTGTAGAAATATCTGAAAGGGAACCACAGGTTAAATCTTAACACCTGACTGCTATATAATGATAACTGTCTAAACTTTTAATTTTACACATAAGAATTGTAAAATATCTTCAGCATATATTCTTAAAGAGTGCAATGCTGTTGCTTTGATTATTCATGTTAATAAGTACAGAATTATTCAAGACAAATTAATTTTCAAGAATACATGTGTTCTTTTTTTATTTAATTGACATATCAGACATATCTTTATTAGTAATAATTAGAACCTGACGCTCAATCACCCACCTGTAAATATTTGACTTGACATAGTTTGGGAAAAGGTACTTGAGGTAGTCGGTGTCTGGAACAACAAAAACTAGGTGTGACAGTGATTGTAACTGTATTCCAGCTCTATAACTAGAGGGAACACAAAGCATCTCTGTGCATGACTGACTGATTGAGTTTGTTTTTACGCCGCTTTAAGCAATATTCCAGCAATATCACGGCGGGGGACACCAGAAATAGGCTTCACATATTGTACCCATGTGGGGATTCGAACCCGGGTCTTCGGCGTGACGAGCCAACGCTTTAACCATTAGACTACCCCACCGCCCCCTCTGTGCATGAGTAGGATGGGATGCAAGCATGATGCAAGCCAGCATGACCAAATGATACCGAGCCTAGCATGATACAGGAAAACAAGGCGCTGCGCTTCGCATCAGCAGCTTACAGATGCCAAAGGAAGGAATTCAGTGAAATCTGCATTCAGTAAGGTATATTAAAGTATGATCAAGGATGCCAAAAGCCCACACAGACACAGTCAATGATGACACATGCACAATGGAACACGATCAGCCTGTCAGGTCCTACTATCTCCCATTCGTCTGTCAGTAAACCAAGAAGAGGGTGGCCTCTTTCTTAACCAGAATCATGGTTCTGTTTCTGGGGCCATAGAAGAATGATTGAGTTGGCCCAACATTCCAGTCATATCACGGAATGTCGTCTTAATGTGGTACTGAAGTACTGCAGGCCACTTTGGTGACCCCATGATCTCGGGTATGGTGCTGAGGACAGCTGGCTATTGATTTTGATCATATAGACTAATAATCATTAAGTAAATATCGTAAGCGATAAATATCGGAGAACTTTGAGCAAAAATGACCAAAAATATCTGAAAGAAATCAACCTATTGTTAGTGAGTGATGACATATTTAGGTTTGGATTACTAACAAAACACTGTCATGAACATAATTTAGAAGCAGTCAAAGAGGTGAGGTGAAATTGGGTTTTACGTCGTGCTTGAGAATATTTCGCTCATATGACGACATGCATGCGTGTGTGTGTGTATGTGCGGCTGCTTGTACTAGCCCAGACTGAAGCTGGTTTTATAGTGCTAGCCCACTGAGATAACATGCCGCAGTGAAGCATGAATACCCCACTCAGACACATTATACTGACTCTGATCTGACCAGTCCTTGTTGTACCCATTAATGCCGAGCGCCAGGCAGGGACCAACAAGTACCATATTTTAAAATCCGGGCGGACGCTCTAACCGCTACACCACGGAGGCGTTTGTAGCAGTGAAAGAATAAAGACCTCTAACTTGGTGTATTGTCCAAGTATAACTTCATTCCATCACAACAGTTTATGATATTGTCATTGACATCATATTCAGCCGTAGTGCTGCCAAACCTAGTGACATGATCAGGGCAAAGTGGGATATAAACCCAGGATCAAAGATTTCTGACTCTCTGTAAAGCTATATGCTGATCCATACTTAGGGTTGGGTATTGCCAAAATTTTTGTATTGCGATATATTGCGATATGTGTTGGCGTATTGCAATATGTATTGCAATATATTGTGAAAGTGTAACATATGGGTTTAAGGTAATGACATTACTGTTTCCTTTCTTTTGAAACGATGCCACTGGCCACTGTCAGGACTCAGATGTGATTGTGCAAAAATGACCAATTGAAAATGTTTCCAAATTGAAGACTTCGCTCTAAATTTGGAACTTGCGAAAAAGCGTACGCAGCGACGTCCGCCATTTTGGTTTGTGTATCATTGCAACGAGTACCGGTACCAATCTATTTGTTTTTATTTATATGGTTTAAAAGTCTTTATTTATATGGTTTAAAAGTCATGCAAATACAACTATATGACCAACAAATATTCTCAAAACTATTAATGTATAATAATATAAAGGAAATACAAACGGTGTTAGTAGTTTGACTACATGAAGAAAATCACCGATCATATCGGGTGAACCGTTTCACGAAAAGTGCACCGCAAATAACGTATTGTGAAGTTCGAATTGCAATATACCGGTTAACCAGTATTATCGCCCACCCCTATCCATACTGTACACAACTTAATTCTCAGTAGTCCCTCAGTAGTATGGGGTGTCCCCTGCTGTGATATTGCTGGAATATTGCTTAAAACGGCGTAAAACTAAACTCACTCACTCACTCACTCAGTAGTATGCTCACCTCCATACTGGCCAGCCAAGGGGCAGCTGAGACCGATGAAGGTGTCCACATTGTGTTGCAGCATGGACATCAGACCACGACACACCAAGCCACCTACAACATCAGCAACATCTACAACAGCGGCACTTCACATCATATATACAGAAAATCATTTTGTTAAAGACTAGGTGAAACTAGTACTATAATATCAATTGTCCTCAGAGTTTTGACTTATTCCTGCCTGAATGAAACAAATATGCTTTCTATGTTACTATTTTCTATCATTTTTATTTCGACCATGACTACCATATGTGAAATGCAGGAATTTGATTGGACAGTCAATAAAATTAGACACTACCAATTTGGACTAGATATGCGTTCAGTTTCAAATTAAACTTAGTGACTATGAATTGGGTCTGACATTCCTTTGATTTGAAGAAAATCCAGGAAACAGTTCTTGAGATAGCTTATCTGTGACATGCAGGTTAACATGCTGAAATCTTCAAAGTGTCGCCATGACCTTGGAAATTATGTGAAGGTCACCAAAATCGACTGGGCCCTGCACCTTCCCTAGATAAAGCTTGGTAATGAATATGAAGACAATCCAGTGAACAGTTCTTGAGATAGCTAATCTGTGACATGCAGGTTAACATGCTGAAATCTTCAAAGTGTCGCCATGACCTTGGAAATTATGTGAAGGTCACCAAAATCGACTGGGCCCTGCACCTTCCCTAGATAAAGCTTAGTAATGAATATGAAGACAATCCAGTGAACAGTTCTTGAGATAGCTTAATATGCAGGTAAAACATGAAAGTCCCCTTGTGACCTTGAAATGAAGGTCAAGGTCACCAAACCTGACTTGGACCTTTCTTATAGTGTGATGAACCTAGGTACCAAATATGAAAAGAATCTAGAGAACGGTTCTTAAGATATTCTAATTCGTACGTACGTACAGACGGACGGAGCCTAATACTATATCTCCCGCTAATAAAAATATGGGTTGTGGTAGGTCATTCAGGACCTGGCAGTAGAAATTATTTACCCGACCCAAGTACTCAGGGACCCGTTCCAGCCCACACTCATCCCATCGTATCCATGACAACAGTTATGTCACATGCCCTCACTCACCCTGAGAGAAACAGACAAGATGGATGCCATCAGGGTTGTCTGCCATAATCTGAGTGAACAAGATTTGAATCTTCTCCACCTGGTTCCACATCGGTTCCAGACTGTACACGTCCACAAAAGCATTGATCTGTGTTGTGTTGGTACCAGGGTGATCCTGAAACAGAGTGAGTGGGTCAGTTTAGTTTTACACCGCTTTTAGCGATACTCCAGCAATATCACGTCAGGGGACACCAGAAATGGGCTTCACACATTGTGCCCATGTGGGGAATCAAACCTGGGTCTTTGGCATGACGACCGAACACTTTAACCACTAGGCTACCCCACCGCCCTCCTGAAATCGAGATGTGCCAGAAATATACTAACAAGAAGTACTCTTATAGTGTTCATATATTCATTTAGAAACAGTAGTATATTCTTATCTCTGGGATTGTTTCTCTGAACACATATGTTTATTTCATTGTGTCTTCAACTCATGTCAAAAAGGGGCGGTGGGGTAGCCTAGTGGTTAAAGCATTGGCTCGTCACGCAGAAGACCCGGGTTCGATTCCCCACATGGGCACAATGTGTTAAACCCATTTCTGGTGTCCCCCGCCGTGATATTGCTGGAATATTGCTAAAAGCGGCGTAAAAATAAACTCAGTCAGTCAGTCAGTCAGTCATGTCAAAAAGAGATTATCAACTACCTGAATATATTTACATTGTTTTTTGTTATTACTTACGATTTTGATCTGCTGTGCAAACTTGTCAAATTCGGAAGGTCCAGCCAAAATGCCATGCATGAAGACGACATGTTTGTAGCCTGACACCATTGTCAGCATCATCAACACACACACCAACACAACCAAATTCATCATGGAAACAGTTTGCATAATATAAACCGGTCCTTTAACAAACTAGAACTAGGTTCTTTGATGACAAATTTGACAGGTCAAAAGTGCAGTTAACAATTCATTGATGAAAAGTCAAAATAATTCAAACCCTTATTATAATTTAGCATCAATGGAATCACAATCAGTCTCTCAAAGACATAAAGCTGCACCACAGAACTAAACTGTGAAACTTCCTTGTTTACTGCTGAATACAGAACTTTGGTACTTGAGCAACAATTACACAAAGAGAATCTGAATGACTATTATTCCGTCCACTTGATATAATTCCTCTAAAAAAGTCAGAAAAAACTACTTCCTCATCACGATGTTTTCCTTTTGTGTCTACTTATAAAACAAATGGCTAGTTGGACTTTCATAGCTCTATGAAAAACAAAACGCTAGTGACTTCATCCTTGAGGGACTAGTTTCCATGACAATTGGAAGTAGAAGGTGAAACCAGGCATGTGAAACAAGGCAGCTGAAGGAAGGCACAATGGCTGTTGGGACTCTTTCAGCAACGTCCAAATATCACAGTCTCTTTTCAGACAGGAAATATGTCCCCCAGTCCTGCAGTGGGATTTGTCTTCTCAGCTTTGTACTTGTCACTATGAAAGAAACAAAATTCATTTTATACTTAGGGTTATACAGTTTTTACATCATGATGAGGCCACCCATTGTTCTTGCAGATGAATCTGCACCACTCAATCAGTCACTCCTCACTCACCATGTTGAGTGAGTGAGTGAGTGAGTTTAGTTTTACGCCACACTCAGCAATATTCCAGCTATATGGCGGCAGTCTGTAAATAATCGAAGTCTGGACCAGACAATCCAGTGATCAACAGCATAAGCATTGACCTGCGCAATTGGGAACCGATGACATGTGTCAACCAAGCCAACGAGCCTGACCACCTGATCCTGTTAGTCGCCTCTTACGACAAGCATGGGTTACCGAAGGTTCATTCTAACCCGAACCTTCACGGGTTCACCATGTTGAAGTTTAAAATGGATAATACCAATATCAGTCAACATATTATACCAACTTAAGTCCTTGTTTTTGTTCCACTAATACAAGGCGGCAGGCAGGGTAATAACAAGTACCATCTTTTATCGTTATATGGTATGGTCTGCAAAAACAATCTGCACCCCGGACAGAAAATCTGTGCTCAACACCAAGAGGCATATTAACAGAACACAAACATATTGTGTCCAAAATATATATTAACTGAGAATGGAAGCAAGAGAAGATGACTGACTGAATTATCAAAACTACCAAGGTAATCAATTTTTTTTAAGTTGCAAATGTGACAAAAAATAACCCAGTGCTCAAACTTACAACGCTCTGTAACACTCCTTGTCTAAATCCTAACCACATTGATACAACATACAGATCCAGGGATGGAAAAAACTTTACAATTGATAGTGTACTCCTGTAATTTTTCCACTATACTGACTGTTTTCTTGCTGAAGTTTTAAATAAACAACATAATTAACATTGGAAAGTCAACTGGACACCGGTGCAGTGTGATATACAAATTTGCTTGCCTGACAGAAAAAAACACTGGACTCGGATCGGGCAATGGGTTATTTCCACCCCTGAGATCATGTACAAATATATCCCAAAGTATCTGTGAGTGAGTATGGTTTTACACTGCATATAGGTTTTCTATACCCGTGAAGATTCAGGTTGAACTGATCTTCAGCAACCCATACTTGTCTTGAGTGAGTGAGTGAGTGAGTATGGTTTAACGCTGCTTTTAGCAATATTCCAGCAATATCACAGTGTGTGTGTGTGGGGGGGGACACACTTGTCGTAAGAGACAGCGACAGCTAATGGGATCAGGTGGTCAGGCTCACTGACTTGGTTAACATGTCATTGTATACCAATTGATGCTCAAGCTGTTGTTCACTGGATTGTCTGGTCCAGACTTCGATTATTTACAGGCCGCCGCCATATAGCTGGAATAGTGTTGAATGTTGGGTTTTCAACATACAAACAAAACCAATCTTCAAGGAATATCATAGCCACGGACACCAGAAAGGGGCTGCACATACTATATGTACCCATGTAAAGCATTAAACCTGGGTCTTCAGCATGATGAGGGAATACTTAATTACCCCACTGTCCCCAAATGTATTTGTGTTTAGTTGGCATAAAAATAATTGATGCATGTGTGCAAACCAAACTGATATGAGTTGAATAGGGCTTCGTTATAAATGGTGCTCACATCAAACTGCAATAACATCACAACATAATTAAAACTACATCACAGCACTGTGACCTTGCAACAGAAGGCTCCACTGTATTGAAAGCACAACTCCCATATTTTACCATTTTGACAGTTTGATTAAAATCATCTCAGTGTTTAATATTCCTATCAACTTGATTACAAAAAAGTTAACTAAACTGAATGCAGAACAACAAACACATTCAAAAATGCTCAACGAGGAGGGTGTATATAAGTACAGTGATACAAAATTAACAAATCTCCTCCCTCCCTCCTACCTGATGTGCTGCAGGTGCCTGTAGACAGCAATCTGTGTACTAACACAGTATCACACGTGTGTCCATGTGATACTGTTATCATCCAGCACACATTGGTCCACATACAGAGATAACCATGATAGCTAACACCTGTTATCATAATGCTGTATTCTCCATGTTCAGCTGCCTGCTTATTCATCAGTTCAAGTTATTTCGCCTTTCAACATGTTGCGTTCATCGAAGCATGATAACAGTGGTGAACAATAAGTGTATGGCAGAAAGACTCATGCGTGGTATCGGGGGTTTCTAAACATGTTTATGTTGGAAAATAAACAAAATGCATGTCACAGGCAAATTGAGAGAAAACAATGATATTATTTATATTAATTAACTCATGAATAAGGTTATTTCCAAAGTTTAAACTTAACCATAATTATGACAGCTCTTACTTCCTACATTTAAATGTTAAAACATTTTGCTGTAGAAACGACCAAATATCTGCTTCTGGGAAGAGCTAGATAAATCCCTGGATGTTTTTTTATTTAAGTTTATATCACGGCAGGGGACACCAGAAATGGGCTTCACACATTGTACCCATGTGGGGAATCGAACCCCGGTCTTCGGCATGACGAGCCAACGCTTTAACCACATAGCTACCCCACAGCCCAATCCCTGGATGTAATACAGTACCTGGACAATCTTGATGGGCACTAATTCCAGCTTGTCCAACTTGGACTGTGTGACTCTCCCCAAACACTGACCAGCCTGACTGATGCGTGGTCATAGGTGGAGTAATTGGGTTATAAATAGAACAATAGAGATGCAGTTTATGTTATACGAGCCCTGTTATATACCACTGCTGTGACTTTCATTGACTGGAGTGATAATTGTAATTATAAAGGTGAGGTCAGTTGGGTGTGGCAGACAATGGGATAGCAGGAGGCAGAAGTGTTGGAGTGAGAAGTGTTGGGATGGAGATATTGTGGGGTGTAGGAGCGGAAGATTGTTGGGTGTAGGGGCTGGAGATTGTTGGGTGTAGGGGCTGGAGATTGTTGGGGCTGGAGATTGTGGGGTGTAGGAGCGGAAGATTGTCGGAAGTAGGGGCTGGAGATTGTTGGGTGTAGGGGCTGCAGGTTGTTGGGTGTAGGGGCTGCATATTGTGGGGTGTAGGGACTGGAGATTTTTGGGTGTAGGGACTGGAGATTGTTGGGGCTGGAGATTGTTAGGGCTGGAGATTTGTTGGATGTATGGGCTGGAGATTGTTGGGTGGAGGGGCTGAGATTGTGGGGTGTAGGGCCTGGAGATTGTTGGGTGTAGGGACTGGAGATTGTGGGGTGTAGGGACTGGAGATTGTGGGGTGTAGGGACTGGAGAGCGTTGGGGCTGGAGATTTGTTGGATGTAGGGGCTGGAGATTATTGGGTGTAGGGGCTGGAGATTATTGGGTGCATGGGCTGGAGATATTTGGGTGTAGTGGCTGGAGATTGTTGGGTGTAGGGACTGGACATTTTTGGGTGTAGGGGCTGGAGATTGTGGGGTGTAGGGACTGGACATTGTTGGGTGTAGGGGCTGGAGATTGTAAGAAGTAAGGAGATTGTAGGGGCAGTAAGGATGTAAGGGAGATACCTCTAGTGTGCTGGGGTGATTCCTATATTGCCATGTTTAACAGTGTAACAGTGACCACAGTGAAAACCCAGTAACAGTGCTGGAGTGATTCCTATATTGCCATGTTTAACAGTGTAACAGTAACAGTGCTGGGGTGATTCCTATATTGCCATGTTTAACAGTGTAACAGTAACAGTGCTGGGGTGATTCCTATATTGCCATGTTTAACAGTGTAACAGTAACAGTGCTGGGGTGATTCCTATATTGCCATGTTTAACAGTGTAACAGTAACAGTAACAGTGCTGGGGTGATTCCTATATTGCCATGTTTAACAGTGTAACAGTAACAGTGCTGGGGTGATTCCTATATTGCCATCTTTGTAACAGTTAACAGTGTAACAGTAACAGTGCTGGGGTGATTCCTATATTGCCATGTTTAACAGTGTAACAGTAACAGTGCTGGGGTGATTCCTATATTGCCATGTTTAACAGTGTAACAGTAACAGTGCTGGGGTGATTCCTATATTGCCATGTTTAACAGTGTAACAGTAACAGTGCTGGGGTGATTCCTATATTGCCATGTTTAACAGTGTAACAGTAACAGTGCTGGGGTGATTCCTATATTGCCATGTTTAACACTGTAACAGTAACCACAGTGAAACCCAGTCACAGTGCAATCATTATATAACATTCTACAATACAATGACCTCTATAACACATCAAGGGATGACGGGGTAGACTGTTTGATGAAAGGGTTATTTGTTATGCTGAAGATCCGGGTTTCATTCCTCGCATGGGTACAATGTGTGAAGTCCATTTCTGGTGTCCCATGCAATGACATTGCTGGAATATTGCTAAAAGTTGTGTAAAACCATACTCACTCACTTATAACACAATGAAATCCCTGTAACATTGAAACCATTATGTTTATAACACAATGAAACGTTTATCATCTTTATGAAACCCTGGTAACAGTGCAGCCTTTAAAAGATTAATACAGTGAAGTGCATGAGTGAGTTAAGACTTAAAGTCACATCGGCAATATTTCAACCATGTCGTGACTTTAACAAATTACAAATTCATAATAAATGCAATTAAATGATAAAAACCCTGTCGATGAAGGACCGTAAAGTAACTAGATTATCACAGATAGATAATTAAAAATAGCATGTAACAGTAAAATTAATCAAATTTTATGAGCAATACAGTGAAACCATGTCAACTCACCTCAATGTTAACTTATATAAGACAACGTACATAAGCTTTTGGCCCTTACCAGCACTGTGGGTGATAATGTACAACACACTGCTGGTGATGAATGTAGAATAACTTTACCCCACTCTTCCACTGTGTAGGGATAAACATGATAACTAGAATTGTGACCATATATCGTAGTATCGATAATCGTGATACTTTATCTGACGATAAATATATCAATACGTTTTTTCGTATCGCGATATGTTTTGTCGACCTTAAAATTGTTAATTTTCATTAGATATTGATGGTAACTAAAGAAAGCATATCGTGATCGTATCATTTAAAGATATCGCGATATGTATCGTATCGTGAAATTTCTGTATCGTCACACCTCTAATGATAACAACCTACTTTCCCAGTAGAAATGGAAAATAACAACACAACAAACATACTAGTCACCAAAAGGACAGCTTTAGCACTAGTTAAATTGCCTCAGGTGAGTTCTAGATGTTTTCTTTACAAACTGCAGTTTACAAGACTAAGAGTTTCAACTGTCTAGATTGCTTGGAGTCAGTCTGCTGGCAATGACAACCTTCAACAACAGCTCCAGGCTGTCCAATTATAGTTGATGTGGACCCCTTCTATTGTGTTCCACTGACCTGAGCCAAATAATATAGCACAGTACACGTGGAATACAGTGGTATTGTGGGGATTTAAGGTTTGTTTTTATATTGGAATCTAGACACCTCCATATTGTCAGCATTCCATAGTGTTAGCACTGCTCCCAGGCCATAAATTATACATGACACACAGAGGTTGAAACTAAACACAGTAAAGAGATGTTGTTAGGTTTCTCTCACATCATAATCTGGAAACCAACTGGATTTCAAAATTAATATTATCCATTAAACAACTGGACCTCTTAACTCCATGCTTAATTTAAAAAAACAAAACATACAAAGGTGATATTCAGAATTATATTATGTTAATCACTGTTAATTTTAGTTTAATATCAGTTAGTAATTTGAGACTGCATCAAACCCTGCCAACTCATAACAAGCATCAGTTTCTACAGGTCTATTATAACTGGGAATCTCCATGTTGTCATGCTTTTTGAGCTTTGTATAGGGATGTGGATTCTTTAGTTAATGCATATAATAAGCAGTCAATAGTTAAGAGTGGGTGAGTGAGTGAGTAAGGTTTTACGCCGCTTTTAATAATATTCCTGCAGGAACATGGCAGTGGACACCAGAAATGGGCTTCACACATAAAGTATCCATGTGGGGAATCAAACCCAGGCCTTCGGTGTGACAAGCGGACGCTTTAACCATTAGGATACCCCACCTCCCCCAATTATGATGTCTACTCAGACAATCTTTCACATCAATACTACTGACTGAGTTTGGTTTTACGCCGCTTTTAGCAATATTCCAGCAACATCACAGCGGGGAACACCAGAAATGGGTTTCACACATTGTGCCCATTCACATCAATAACAATATATGATGAAGAATTACTGTTATCACATCACACTGACTAAATACAAGACAAGACAGAGAGGATTGTTCATTGATCAGATTTATTTCTGTCAACTAGGATTATTTGCCTGCATTGGCCAGTATTAGTGTCAGAGCTAACTCTTATCATGCTTGTGAAAGCCTCCACTTACAAAATAGAACATACCATGAACAACAAGGTCAAGGGTATAGTGTGGTAGTTAGGGTACTGTTGTACAAAACCCCATGAAGATCTGGGTTAGAATCGGTCTTCAGCAACCAATGCTTTGTCAAAAAAGGTGACTAACGGGATCGGGTGGTCAGGCTCGCTGACTTCATTGACACATGTCCTTATATCCAAACTGAGTGTCATTGCTCGATGCTCATGCTGTTGCTTATGCTGTTGATCACTGGATTGTCTGGTCCAGACTCAATTATTTACAGACCGCCGACATATAGCTGGAATATTGCTGAAAGCAGTGTTAAACAACCAACCAACCTTTGTGCAAAATCATCTTAGTGCTGAGGTGCTTGTATATGAAATTTGCATTCTCAGATAAGTAGTTCAAAACTAGAACTTGAAAATATAATAACATTATAATGACATTATTAAGTTATAATTACAAACATTTGTGAATTCCCATCAGCTTAAATTATTAGATTCAGCAGTTTGGAGTTTTCAACCGGCTGCTTCCCTCTATATGTTTTGCATGGACTTATCAAAGCTTTTTGCGAGAACCATAATACTGAACCCCATTTCTGCCCAAATATATTAAATTAAATAAAACATTCTAAATTCACGTCATTATAATTTTATACTTATAGTTTTCCAAAGATCAGTTGTTTTTTCCTGATTTCAGGACTAATAATAAGCAAAAAGGTTTTGAACTTAGTTTTACATGATCAATAATTTGACAAAAAGGACCTAAGAAAATCTAATTTCAGACAAACTGAGGTTTTTCAGTTTGTCTGCCCGGGTCTCCTATATTTGAAAATCTCAGAAAAATCTCTAGGTCATGTATGAATTATTCAGATTTCCAGATTTGTGAAAGTATTGATTTTAACTATTATAATCAGTTTGATCATGTTGATATGAAGATCTGCCTACCTGTGCTACCATGGTTACCACAGTCATTACAAAAGTGGTATTACATTCTCACACGCCTTACAGTATGGGTAAAAACTTTAGCCTGGTCACAATAGCATCCATCTAACGATATGTGTCACAATACTATACTATCACGCTACACATATCCATGCCAAATCGTTAGGAAACTCCATTAAGCCAGACCAAT